TTTATAAAAGTTTACGGTCTTCACGATTACTGACCATAAAATTAACTAGTCTATGTGTGGAAATTTCGGATGGAATCTTTCATACCTTGATTTTCTACATTCTACCCGAATAATGATTTATATATTTAATTGTTTCACTGTTGTTATAATTATGACTACTTTAACAATATAACCTACCACTTTTATCAATAAAATCTTCTTTATGTTGATTTGGTATATGGAAATTTGAAATGATACAAACGTATGTTACATTCTAATATAACTATTCCCTTACCTACTTACTTACTAACTTACGCCTGTTACTCCCAATGGAGCATAGGCCGCCGACCAGCATTCTCCAACCCACTCTATCCTGGGCTTTCTTTTCTAGTTCCATCCAATTCTTGTTCATCTTTCTCATGTCTGTCTCCACTTCCAAGCGTAATGTGTTTTTTGGTCTTCTTCTTTTCCTTTGGCCATGAGAATTCCATGTGAGGGCTTGTCTTATGACGCAGTTGAGTGAGTTCCCCAATGTGTGTTCTATCCACTTCCAGTGACACTTCCTGATTTCTTCCTCCGCTGGGATCTGATTTGTTCTTTCCCACAGTTGGTTGTTGCTAATAGTGTCCGACCAACGGGTCCGAAGTATTTTGTGTAGATAACTGTTAATAAACACCTGTATCTTCTGGATGATGGCTTTCGTAGTTCTCCAAGTTTCCGCCCCATACAGTAGTACTGTCTTGACATTTGTATTGATAATCCTGACCTTGGTGTTGGTTGAAAAATTATTCAACTATTCCCTACCTATATGTTATTACTTTGAGTACACAAGTCACGACGGATGAGTGAAATCTGTATAAATATCAATATGGGGTTGTGGAGATTGGATAGATTTTGGTTCAGATCATGAAACGATTGGTGTTTGACCACCACTAAAAACCTGGAAGTAACAGAATGGCCGTATGGGACAACTCAGCAGTATGCATCCAAGATCTCACACGTGAGCCTTGAACCTAGGTCCTTCAGTCTCGCATGAGAACGCTTAACTTCTGGATCACTGAACAGGTAACCGAAGGTGTTAATATCTTACTTCAACCAATCCACAAAATTACGCGACCATCTTCCATCGTCTGAGATGGACACTTGTCTATAACCGGACATAGATTAGCTCCACTGATCACCGGAAATCCGAGGGAATTTTAACTTACAATTCAGACAGGGTTAATCATACAAGAAGTAGTAAACAGATAGTATATATGATTACATGAGTTTGTATGCCTATATATATCACCAAATACTAACATCAATACATAGTATATTGTAACAGTTGAGATCATGAGTCAGTTGAAGCAAGATCACCATGGAAAACCTGGAAGCACTGGACAGTCGTTTCATCCTACTGTGGGACTCCTTATCAGTGCGCAACCACCATCCTGCCTCAGAAGATTTGAACCCAGAACCTATTAGTCTCACGCGTGAACGCTTGACCACCAGACCATCGAGGAGTTCCACAGTAGGACAAAATGACCGTCCAGTACTTCCAGATTTTCCATGATGGTCTAGCTTCAATTGACTCATGATCTCAACTATTGAAATTACTATAATAGGCACCAAAAAACCCCTTCTGAAATAATATGTAAATATTTATCATTATAAAAGAAAAAAGAAAAAAACATGTTTCACAGTTGATTAGAAAATTTCCCTTTGATGTATCCTAGAAACAGTTAGAAATGGTAGTTCTCTGCTTCCTTTTTCTTTTTTTGTTTTTTCTTTGGAAATCTCCAATTTTTTTTTATTTAGGATAATACAAATAACTGAACAATATTGGGTGAGACTATAATTTATAGACGACCTTTGAGCGATGCTAGACTGACTTTCAGAGTGTGTATACCTAATAAGTAGGACCACATGAGGTTTATAAACCAGTATGTGAGGAATTCGAATTATGATTTACAGTTGATGATTAAAGTTAGAAATTAGATTTAGGGTTTTCATCACAAGCTGAAATCATCTTTGATGCCAAAACGTTTTTTTAGCCAAATGGATGAATGAATTTCACGTCAAAATTCGAGACCTATTATCTTATACCTGATTGGTTCGTCTATAAATTATAGTCTCGCCCAATATTGTTTTCGATTACATCTTCATCAAGCTTTATACTAAGATGCAGTAATGTATTTATTCACATATATGAAATCATTAAACCAATCAAAGTAGTTTATGAGTCAATGATGATAATAGTGGGATAGATTACATAAATAAGTGAAAAGTAAAAATTGGTAGTGTGAAAACAAGTGTACAAATTGTATAGTGTAATCGAACTAACCAATGATAAAATGAAATGCTCACCATCACATTAAGTTCCATTGACCTTTTATGACTATATCTTGTTTTGAAAAGAGCAATGAACAAACATTCTAACAGTATAGCATGAATTCACTTTTTATTTTGTTTAGTTCTCATCAGTTGCTTACAATCTGTGATATTTAAGAATCATAATTAAATGGTCGGTTTAAATTACTTACATGAGACGGTTTGATTGGAAGTTATATTAAAGACATATTCGTATAGTATAGCAAGGGTGTAAATAAATTGAATAGACTTAATATTGTAAATATACACACCATATGTGATGAAAGAACATTGTGACAAATAGTTCAAACGGCTAGAAACAAGTGAACATTGATAGGAATAAAATGAGTAGAGTTCAGTTGATAAAATAGGATTATTAATTTGGAAGATAGTTGAAATAAGACTCAATGATGTAATAAAAGAAAAAGAAAAAAATTTTAAGATGCAGAGAAAGAATATTTGTCACCAAGGCAAGGAAAGATTAACAACCGTCTCCTTTTGAACACATAAATCAGGTTTTTGGCGTCTTATAGCATCTGTTTCAGCAAACTTCAGAAGACTGGAGTTTGGCTGCTTACTAATCACCTTGAATGATTGTAGGGTATCGACCTGATGTCCTGTATCAAGAAGATGTTTGGTGATTGCACTATTTAAAGTCATTCTTTCTCTTGTTCTGAGGCTTTTTGGAACATGTTCAAAAAATCTGAGATATGCCCTCCTTTCTGTTCGGCCAATGTAGCTACTTTGGCAGGTACACGTAAATTTATAAATACAATTGGCGGTAACATGAAAAGGATGCTTATCAACTTTTGATTGAGTTATTGAACATATTGTTTTATACACAATTAGAAGTTTGGCCGCCGGATAAGTTCTGGCTAGCGCAGTATTCAATCTCCTGTTGATTGTGTTTGCAACATCATCACCTTTGAAGTTAAGATTTATAGTAATTTTTTTATTGATCATAATTACTTCAGTATTTTTTTTTCTTTACGCTTTTTATATTGGTTAATAAACTTTAGTGGGTAAAAGTTGTCTGGTAGGCGTTTTTCTACGTTCATTAATTCTTCTTCCAGTTTGTCAGTGGTACATATCCTTTCTGCCCTATAAAATAGTGTTTTAACTAATGCCTTCTTGTAACTGAGTGGACAAAAACTGTTGAAATTCAGGTAAAGGCCATTCCTAGTAATTTTTCGATAAAGTAAACGTTGGACTGTCCCGACTTTCCTACGTTTTATAGCAACATCAAGAAAGTGGAACATGTCATTCTGTTCGTGTTCCATAGTAAATTGTATGTTGGGATGAGCGTTACTGAAGAGTTTTAGCAGGCGGATTGTATGCTGTTTATTGTTACAGATAATATATGTGTCATCCACATACCTGGAATATTCTGTCATTTAGCTAATCGCCTGTTTAAGCTCCATGTTTTCAAGATACCCCATAAAAATATCTGCCAGAACTGAACCTAGTGGACTTCCCATTGCTACGCCGTTGATTTGACGATATATGGTGTTATGTGTGTATTGGCTTCATGAAGAACTTTTCCTACACGCACTTCTTCATATGTAAATTTAATCGCTGGATGTTTGTTGTTAAATATTTTAAATATAGTTCTTTTTTCCACTGTTCTGATCGACAATAATGAAAGTGTCATCAACGTAACGACAATATAAGTCAAGCTTACCAATAACATCTTTGAGAGTTCCGTTTTCTAGTTTCTCAAGGATAGGACCTAGAGGTGAACCCATAGCGATACCATCAATTTATCTATAATATGTGTTATCAAAGACGAAATAGACATTCCTTGTACATTTCAGAAGTAATTCTTTGAGACGAACCTCGGGATTTCCAATACTGATAGAAAAAAAAACAAGTGCATTTAAACTTCACCCCATTGCACAAGCAAGTGGTTATCAGGACATAGTAATTAGGTGGATAAAGAGATGGCCTCTGAAACGGATGCCACGTGGGTCGAGTCCAAGAGGGAATATCAACTCTGAGATCCAGGTGCATCCAGTTGATGAATTCTAACTAGGGTGAAACGCGCACCATGGATTCCGCTATTAGCCACTATCCATTATAACATGTATGTATATCTAAAAGAAGATTTCTTTATCATATTTTATTAAATAAATCACGGAAATTATCAATGTAAAGTTCCTTTAAAGTTTTCGTTTGAGATCATCAACCAATTAGTGTTAGTTCACCGTTGGAAACCTGGAAGCACTGGGCGACCGTTTCTCTCTATTGTGGGGCTCCTCAGCACTGAGCATCCACGATTCCGTTCGCTGAGGAGTCTCACAATAGGAAGAAACGGCCGTCTAGTGCTTCCAAGTTTCCAACGGTGGTCTAACACCAATCGGTTCATGATCTAAATTAAAAACTTAATCTCCATAATCCCTATACTGATAATATCTTTAAAGTAATGAATTCATCTTATGTATATTCATTAGGAATTTCATATAATTATTAAATATTCCGTTATTATTAAAGTGTATAATGTATAACCTCGTTTGACCGCTCACCTTCTCCATTGATAGTTTATTGTTCCTATGTAAGATTGACATTCTTCTTCTCCTTTTTCCTTTCCTCTTTTTTTCTTTTATTTCTGTAAAATTTTCTCAACTTTCTGATAACGAATAGCAATCACTTATTTATATAAACAAAACAATTCATAAGGAAATTGTTTTATGAATGTTACAATTAACTTTTACCCAAATTAAAATAAAAGAAACAAAGAAAGAAACAAAGAAAGAAGAAGAAGAAGAAGAAAAAGATGATGATGATGATGATGATGATGATGATGATGATGATGATGATGATGATGATGATGATGATGATGATGATGATGATGATGATGATGATGATGATGATGATGATGATGATGATGATGATGATGATGATGATGATGATGATGATGATGATGATGATGATGATGATGATGATGATGATGATGATGATGATGATGATGATGATGATGATGATGATGATGATGATGATGATGATGATGATGATGATGATGATGATGATGATGATGATGATGATGATGATGATGATGATGATGATGATGATGATGATGATGATGATGATGATGATGATGATGATGATGATGATGATGATGATGATGATGATGATGATGATGATGATGATGATGATGATGATGATGATGATGATGATGATGATGATGATGATGATGATGATGATGATGATGATGATGATGATGATGATGATGATGATGATGATGATGATGATGATGATGATGATGATGATGATGATGATGATGATGATGATGATGATGATGATGATGATGATGATGATGATGATGATGATGATGATGATGATGATGATGATGATGATGATGATGATGATGATGATGATGATGATGATGATGATGATGATGATGATGATGATGATGATGATGATGATGATGATGATGATGATGATGATGATGATGATGAAACCGACGCTTAATTTCTTTATTGAGGTATTAAACAACGATAATAATAATAATAATAATAATAATAATAATAAGCCATTTTCACTACATACTTATGATTTGTTTGTCTCCTGGTATATATGGATTTGATCATCTATATCTAAATCAATTGACTATATTGAGTGGTTGATTATTATTATTATAGTCTACCTTTAATAGTTACGATTACATGCTTCATGTAAGTCATGTATAATTAGAGCAAAATTTCATCAACTATCATATTGTTTAACTTTAAACTGCGGTTGATATGAAGATCTTTATTATTGTTGACTGATAATCGTTTGGTTGTCAATGAACATCCAATCATCTCATTGGAAATCTTCACTGTTTATGAATGAAAATGATAAATTAGAATACAAGATAAAATAAAAATTATGTAAATCATATCATACTGGATAATAAATCAATATTGCGAGGTAATAAAAGATGGAGAATAAAAACGTTTTTAAACATAGAAAGGGTATTTGAGTCTTCATATGGTTAAAGCTTTAATAAGTCTTAGTAGTTACCTTTGAGTATTCCTATACAAATTTTGACTTGATATTAACTCTACAGTCAGTTTCTATAAACGGCGAGACTCTAATTTATGGACGACCTTTGAACGAGTCTTAAGTGACCTTGAGAAATATTAGCCAATCAGCAAACAGTCAGTATAAAGTAAAATGATGTTATACAAAACCAAGGAAATAAAGTGTATTCACTTCTTATACGTGTTTCAAAAACTTGTCAAGGTTATAAAGAGGTTCAGAGGTTCTAAAGTCGTAATGCATGCAGCAGAGGAAATCATTCACTCGGTTACAGAATAGTCGGCCTCTGGAGCCATGATAAAGTCTCAAAAACTCTTTCAGCCTCGACCACATAGCTTTAATATTGTTTATGTGCACTCCGGTTGCTACTTGGGGATAACGACACGATCACACAACCAAGCCTATGTAGGAGTCTGTACGCTCTCCAAACATCCGTATATATTGTAGTATCTGGCTGCAGCCAGTGTTACTGGTGCTTTTATTATCCAGTCCTAATTTACCTTGGTTAGGAATTATATATATAGGGTTTTCATCACGAACTGACATAAGCTATAATGCTAAAAATCTGTTTAGTCAAATGGATGAAAGGCTTTCGCGTTAAAATCCGAGATCTGTTATCTTATACCTGATTGATTCGTCCACAAATTATAGTCTCGCCGTTTTATTTGTTATAGCCTCTCAGTTATCACGTTTTGTACAAAATTCCCTGTGAAACGAACGTACGTTAGTATTAAGCACTGAAGTTGGTGCCGTAACCTTGAAATCTCGCCTCTGATTGGCTTGTCCATAAATTAGAGTCTCGCCCAATAAACTACTCTTCAATACAGTAAGATATTGTTTTGATTAGACTCTTATAAGTCTTATCTTTGTAGTTCTGATGAACTCTATCTTTTTGTTGCATTATCCAAGTTGACCAAAAAAAAGTAACTTTTTTTCAACTTATTGTTTCTGATTCATAGCTTGAGTAAATTTTGTAACTGTCACTTACTTCTCTCTTTGAAAACAGTCTCACTCCAATATGATAGAGCTTCGTATTATTGTCTTTACTCATCCTTCAACTGGCATGAATTTATAGTAACTATCCTACAATCGATTTTGATTATGGTTAACATTGGTTAAACCGTTTTATTAACTTCCTTAATAGACAATGTTATTTGGATAGTAACAATTTGTATATTTCTTTGTACCGTTATGATCACTAGAGAGCATATGACAGACTCTAGCTAAAATGTTGATTGCTTAAATATCATTCGATGATTCATCCTCCTCACCATGTATGTATGCACTCAAATCATCCTATTAGCTTTTGCTTTGCCTTACTGCGTCCTTATGCAGTTTGACTTTAAATTTGCCCATGTAATTATTTGCATATACATATTCGCCTCTCTGTTTCAAATTCGCTCGATGTGATTGTAACATTGTGATCTCTGTACCATCCCCCAATAAAATGTAGTTGCCGGACACATTCTGTCTATTCTATAATAATTTACTAACCTCTCAGACATTTTGATGAATATTGACAGCCACAACGATGTCTCTGATTGTACTTTTTTGTAGACTAATTGAAAACTAAAGAATTACATTTTTGATTGAAATCATGAACCGATTGATTTCAGACCACCGTTGGGAACTCGGAAGCACTGGACGGCTGTTTCATCTTAGTATGGGACTGCTCAGCAGTGCGCACCCACGATCCTGCTCGTGGGATTCGAACTCAAGGCCTTCAGTCTTGCCCGCGAACGCTTAACCTACTAGATCACTGAGCTGGTATCCAATTGTGTTAGTGTCTAACATCAGTCAATTCACAAAATTGCGCGACCACCTTCTATTGTACTGAGGTAGATACCTGTTTCTACCCGACACGGATTAGCTCCACTGGTCACGGCTTCTTACTAGAACTCCAAGAATTTCCTCACGAATCTAGTCACTAGTGAACACATGTTAATTATCAGTATTAAATACGGACCAAGAAGTACATATATTGATTGTTACATAATTTTGTTGGAGTTTTGTTCTCTGAGCTAAATGATCGTTTGATCGTGAAACTTTTATCATTCATCAAGAAAATCTTCAGATAGAATTGAACTATTCGAATTTCTCCATATATATAGTTCACAGTTTATCCTGTAAACCTTAATGTTCATTCGTCACCTTGTTGATCTTATAAACCATAATCAAACTATTCAGTTGACAGAACGAAATTTCATTAAAATCATTTATCTGAACCATAAATCATCTCTATCATCAGTTACTTAATATCAGAACCCATTATCTATATATATTATAACGTAATAAATGAAATATATATCGGCATATGTGTATTCTTCTTTCATTAAGAGGTTAGAATAACTTGACTTGTTTTCAATACAATCACTTGATTTAATTCAAACAGGTGATTCCTTTGAAAAAAATGAAAAAAAAATGATGAACAATCAATCGATATACCTTTTTAAAAGTTTTGTTTCCAAGTGTATTCATATTGTGTATCCAAGAGATTAGAATAGTTTAAATCTAATTAGTAACAAGTGGTTTCAGGTCACTGATTAAATTAGAATTAAATTTAAATATCTTAGATTAAATTTTCTTTTCTTTTTTTAAATTTTAATTGTTTCTTTTTATTAAATGAAACTTTTTTTAGTATTTATTCAATAAATATTCAGAATGGTTGTGAATCAACAAGTTTACCATATATGAGAATTGAATTCATGAGTTAATCGAAACTAGACCATTATGAAAAACCTGAAAGCACTGGACAACCTTTTCATTCTAGTATGGGACTTCTCAGCAGTGAGCATCCAATATAATGCTTCACGAGATTTCAAACCAGGACCGATCAGTGTCGTGCAAACTGAGCCGGTCAGCCTGCATCGAACAATGTTATTGTCTAATTTCAACCAATCCACAAAATTGAGCGACATATTCGCCATTGTCTTCAGTGAGTTACTATCTTACAACAGATACGGTTGAACTCCAATGATCACAGCATTTCACTAGAACTCCAGGAAGTTCCTCTTATAGACAGTCACTAGTGAGCATATGATGATTCTAAACAGAAAAAGGTTTTATGGAGATTGTAATAAATTAATAATTGAATTCATGAGTCAGTTTATGCTAGAACAACATGGAAAATCTGAAAGCACTGGACGGCCATTTTTGAGTTCTAGTGAGAAGCCGTGACCAATGAAGTTCAACCGGGTCTGTTGTGAGATAATAAATCACTGAAGACAGTGTTGGACGGTGGCTCAATTTCGTGAATTAGTTGAAGTTAGACATTAACACCGTTGAATGCCGTCCGGCTCAGTTGTCTAGAGGTTAAGCGTTCGTGCGCGAGACCAGTAGGTCGTGGGTTGTGATCTCGGTAAGCACTATATTGGATGCTCATTGCTGAGAAGTCCCATATTAGAATGAAACGGTCGTTCAGTGCTTTTAGGTTTTATGGTGATCTATCATTAATTGACTCAGATTCTTAACTATTGAATTTATACCATAAGGTTATACATTATGTGAATTAAACTAGATACATGAAAAGAATCAATATTATAACCTGTTCAAATCTAAAAGAAAATGCCATGAAAAACTTTAAATAATCAGACTTCTTTGAACAACGTTTTCATTGTATCGATTATTTTGATATAAAAACTTCTCATACGTAACGAAAAAAGTATAAATCATCCAAATCTGTTCTGGACAATCCTTTCAAGCTGTTTCAAGTTGCTGCTCATTCTTCTCATGTATGCATTCTATTGTCGACGCAGTGTGTTCTTCGGTCTTTCCCGTTTCCCTTCAGGATTTCAAGTTACCGCTTGATTTGTGATGCAATTCCTCTGCATCAGTAGGCCTCAACATACACAAAGATAAAAGCAACATCCTCAAGTACAACATAGAGAACACCAACACAATCACAATTGATGGCGAAACTCTCTAAGATGTGGAATACTCCATGTATCTTGGAAGCATCATCGACAAACAAGGAGGAACAGGTGCAGACGTAAAAGCAAGGGTTGGAAAAGAGAAGGCCACATTCTTACAATTAAAGAACATATGAAACTCAAAACAACTGTCTGTCAAGCAATATCCATATCAGAATCTTTATTACGAACGTCAAGGTAGTTCTACTGTACAGAGCTGAAACGTGAAGAACTACTACAATCATCATCAAGAAGGTTTAACTATTTATGAACAAACGTCTACACATAATATTCAACGTCCATTGATCGGATAGTACCAGCGTCAACTTACTATTAAAGAGATAAAAAGGAAATTAAAAATGACGTTAGAAGTGTATAGGATATACATTTCTGAAATCATCAAACTCCATTATGATAGAAGCCTCAACTTGGAATCATGAAGTTAAATGGAAACATTGAATATCAAAGAACATACTGTTTCAATAATGATAAGCAGATATAAAAAGTATGAATTGCATTTGGAAACAACTGGAAACAACTGTCCAGGACAGAATTGGATAGAGAGTGTTGATAGTTGGCCAACTCTCTTCCATGAGGGGAAACTGACATAAGTAAACAAGTAAGTCATGATGCAGTTTGGTATGTATACACATATATATGTAATCTTCATCTACTAATCATTGAAATAGAAATTCATTCATATTGAATCTCATGCCAACACAATTTCATGGATTAACAAACCA